GCTTGTTGCGCACACTGTAGAGTCACATGTAGACGCGCATTTTATTTTCGGATAGTCTGATTTTGATGTATTTTTTGTTTTTGCGTTCATCGGATTGCGTCGTACACAATAACAATATGTTCGGCAATGGTTTCAACCTTATTTCTCCCTAAGTTTGCTTTTTTGTCGACTACTGTAACATTAAAAGTTGCAGCCCATTTTCTATAAACATTTCGTCTACTACTCGATGACAACGAGGGCACACCTACTTTTCGGTTTGAGAAAAACGAACGTTAGACGGACGAACAAACTGCACACACTAGAATTTCGAATACCGGGTTAAATATTATTATCGCGAGCTATAAGTATTTACACTTGTATTGAAAACATTTTTTCAAAAATAAATTTAAATCATATTTTGAAGGCATATGGCGCATTTAACCTATTTACGAGGACATTTGGGAAACACTGCAGTTGGATTCCGATTTATATTCTACTTCAATACTATGTAAGTAGGTACTTATACCTATCTTAGAAAGTATTTTAATGTTTTTGGAAATATTAAACTTAAATGAACCTATTACAAAATAATATTTGACCAACTTTTTTAAAGTTTTTAATTTTTTGAAAGGCAATACTAGCATTTGTGGTTTTGTATTCAAGTACAGTACCTAATAATACTTGTGGATTACGTGTAAAAAATGTAGGAATTGCTATATTGTGCTATTGTGATATTGTCTATATTATGATAGGTACTATGTTTTATGATGATATAATATATTACTATGGCGATAACTGTAGGATTTTCATCAATATCAGTCACACATGTATACATGTATTACACTTTGAAGTTTGAATAAAAATCGTAAACAAGATACCGCCGATTACGTTTTGCGAACAGACATTTTTCCACACGACCACACTGCGAAAAATGCATCGTATAAATAAAAAAGCTCTTCCGCTGTATCTATACATCGAAATATGCTCATATCATACTATAAATCACAGTGATATCCCATCCCTATGACCATTCGGATTTGCATAACTCAACTGTGCCCATTTGTAGAAAACATTTGTTTTGAGTATATGTGACTTAGTAGAAGCGAAAACGGTCGTTCGGAATCCTATAATCCTACTATCAGTAAAGCTCAAGCATTATTAAAGTTGAATCGAAATTATTTCTAATTAAGTTTTATCTTCATTAGTTATTTTATTGAATGATTTGCGGTTCGATAAAAATATTTATTATTATATATAAGGAGTATATCATTATAATACACGATAAACGTTCGATATCTCGAACTATTTAGTATTTTCTGCTCATCCTGAGATTGGACATAACTGTCATGCTATATTATAATAATTAACAACTTAATCGCAGAGTATAAGAAAATACAATACGAACATCTTACCGATCGAACACAGATCAAGTCCGGAAAGTAGTCGTAAGACTGTTAGCGATTTTCACCGTCGCGCCACTGAGTATAATCACATTAAATCCTATTATATAGCAATACCATAGTTATAACCCTATAGTACCCGCCTAAGGGTATATAAAACATTAAAACCTAGGTCAAGGGTTTAAACTTATGGCACGCGTTCTAATAATAATCAGCAGTTGGATACAATTTAACGGCTCGCTCGATCGTATTGTTTCATTGTTAAATCTCGCATTATTTATTGACAAATAACAGTGATACATCGCATTCAAAATACGATATGTTTATAAAATGTTGAAAGTTTGCTACTCACTTTGTAACAAGTGGCCCATTATGAATTATATGAAAGTCTAATGGAAGTATACTGGCCACGATGAATCCGATCTAATCGAAACAGGAGAATACATTGACGGATGAAGCTATGCGCATAGTGCTGCTTCTGCAGTCGACTAAATACTTCCACGTGATACTAACGTAACTTCCAATGGTGAAATAAATGGAAACACGTAGAAGGCACATAAATTATAATATTATTATGATGTGTATTCATACAATTATTTACCAGTTTGGGGAGTTCAGTTGTCGTATGAAAAGTTCATACATTTTTTTTTTTGTTTGTATTTTTTATTTAAATCCCCTATTACTCCGGAACGGTTTTTCATGCATAGGTCCTATACTATATAATATGAGGTACTTACCTACGTCATATACACAAATATTATAATACTGGCACTTGAAATTTTCTCAAGACTTCTTCGTCCCGCGACCCGAGATCCTAATAGTTCCAGGTCTTAGGTCACACAGGTTAAATAACCTGTAGCGATCAAGCTTTCGCGGTATATAACTTCCGTACCATATACACGATACCGCAATATAATATTATGATACACATGTGACTTATACTTGTCTGCACGAGCGTTTGTGTGTGTGTGTGTGTGTGTGTGCGCTCGCGCGCACGCGCGCTTTATACGTGCTTACCAGTGCGATAAAAGTTTTCTCCTTGTCCGTTCCGTTCGGCGCTGTGCGATTTCGCCGTTGCCGGGAGGGTATCCTCCGGGGAATGGTCGCCGCCCCCCACGCCCCCCTCGGGTGGACACAATGATTTATATACCTAACCGAAGTGTTCGTAGGTGTGCACATATATAGGCGGACTATATATATTATATACGTATATGTGTGTGTGTATGCTTCCAGACGTATTCAATGTATATATGTACGAGCGAGCAAGAGGGTAAATGTGTGTGTGTGACACTGGTAGGTTCATTGAAATCGTCGAAACTCGCTTTTTGTCTAAACTCCAATAGTAATCGTCTCTTGCCCAAACTGAGAAAAACACCTGACTATATATGCTGTATGTGTGCCTAATGCCTATACATATAGGTGGAAATTGTGGATAGAGCGGGTTCATCACGTGCACGTTGAGGAGGGGGGGAGCAGAGAGAGAATCATTTTGTCCATAGCCACCTGAAACGGACAAAATTGTTGTTACGGTTTTCTTCAAACTGTCTCTTTATGTATATAATATATATATATATATTATATATTATATAATATATTTATTGATTTTAGGAACATTTTATAGTTGTTCGTTAAATTTCTTTCAGCAAATAAGACCAAATAGATAATTAATTTGTGATACAACTATAAACGCGTGTGTGGTATGACGAAACGAAACAATGCTTTTAGGGTAAAATAAATTTAAAATATAGTAATAGTAAGTTGGACAATAATGTTAGGAGTGTAAAATTAAATTATTAAATTAACGTCATAATCTTATACAGTGATGTGGGTACTTCTAGTAGGGTTTCGGGAAGAGCTTGGATTAGCCCCACCCAAGCGGAGATTTTAGCCCCCACCGAGTCCAAAAACCACATAATATATTAAAACGTACGGTGGGGATAAAGGGTTATATAACCCCCACCCACGATCCATTCGATCATACACGACATCTGACATAATCCGTCATGTGGCGTGGGCTCGCCGATTCATACGACTGGACTCATTTCGTGTCCAATTGCGTCCAAATATTACATAATACATAGATTGAGAAATATCCGTACGATTTCCTTGAGATGTAATTCGTGTAGGCACATTATATTCCACACTTTTGTGCAAACAGTCACAAAATCGTCATCGTGTGTTGCCCGCAATGACATACTCGTATATATGACGTATAGTTTTCTAGAGCCGAATAATATTAATATTTCGTTATTAACAATTTATGTACTTTTTTTAATGTCGTCCGCATAAACAACGGCAGCGTATATAGATAGAATGAAAAAAAAGGAAGAAATCTATCTTCCCCTTCCACCAACCCCCGCCAACCATGCTGGTGAAGGCGTGAGACGTAAATACGGTATACCTAATGCGTCCGTCCGCCCGCTGCTAAGTATAAACGTTAAGACTTTGGTGTTAGGTACCTGCGTTACGTATTATTATACTATTTGAAAATTTAATGGAAATTAATAATTTAACTTTTAAAATGTTTACTCTGCACATAAATCAAAGCTCTATAAAAACGGCCGTCAGAGAATTTTTCCTCAAAATGCAAAACAAACGTTTGTTTTTATTTTTGTTTCGAGCTTAGGCAAACCGTAAAATAATATAAATTAATTATGATGTAGAGCGGTTCTCTATAATGCCGAAAGGCAAGGAGTACTAATTTTGTACAATTATTGTATCGTACGCAAAAATATTAATTATAAAAAAAGTGAATTGACAGGAACGCAAACGCGGTGCGAGACACTATCCGTCTGTAATTTATATAACAATTATGTCATTAATTGACGATAATTTAATAACGTTATTTTGGTGGTTTTGAAATTCCCCAGGCCTGGGGGCGAATTAATGATTAATAATATGTCAAACCTGGCCGAGTAAAAAAATAATTTAATGAGTTAAAAGTTTAAAGTAGTCGATTCAAAATAATATTTCGGTCGAGAAAATATGATCGAATTAAAATATAAATGCAAAAAATGTACACTAATTATTGGAACTCGAGACTTTAATATATACAATTGTCTGTGGTCGGAGTGGGGGGGAGGGATACTGTGTGATCGCATTCCTCCAATTTTTATGATTCACATTTTCCATCCCTCCACTCATTTTGTACAACTGTGTAAGCCATAAAATATCAGGATTATTCTAGATTATGAAAGGCATCTCACCAATTTTGAGCCACTTCGATAGGTTATAGCTAATAATATAAATTCGCGCTATTCGTGACCAAATATCAAAACTATTAGTTTCAATTATTGTACAACAATTCATATCTATACAAAAATCGCATTGAAAATAGGCATTTCAGTTTTTTTCTGAATTTTCTTCAATTTTCCTGTCGGCGGGGCACCTCATCTTTAAAATCTAAACTATTCGAAATCCTTGTGTATTGCACGCCTAGACTATAATACAAAAGTATAGCCAGAAAATAATGTCCAAGACCCTATCATAGTTTATTAGCCTTGCGTTGATCGTGAATCGGTCAGTCGGGATGACTTCTCACTATATACGTCATAATAAAACAGCTGATTGTCATGATTTCGGTTTTCATTGTTATTATTTTTTTTGTTTGCCCACTCGCAGGACCGGCCCACCAGCAGCAACAACGGTTACATCGCGGCCGACCGGCTGTACGACCTGAACCCAATGCCGCCGCCGCAGACGGTCATCGCGCTGTCGTCGTCGTCGTCGTCGTCGCCGTCGCCCAAACTGTCGTCGGACCCGGCCACCAGGACGTCCACCGGCGGCGACCCGGCCACGCTTCTCCAGTATTCCGCCACGTACGGCAACCCGTACCTGCGGCCCGCGTCGGCGCAGTGGCCGGCTCAACCGCAGCGGCCGCTGCAGAAGTACGACGCGTACGGCCGGCCCGAACCTCCGCCGTACAGCGCGGTCGGCAAGGGCAAGCGGAAAACCGCCGCGGCCGGCCACGGCCCGTCGGCCACCGCCGTGCCCGTCGGGCCCAACTATCACATCGGCGTGGCCAAGCGGCAGACGCTGGCCACGCACGTCTGAACGGCCGGCTCGAGGAGTCCGGCGCAACAAAGGCTGATGAAATAGTCGTATTATATTATAATATTATATTGTAACCATCGTTATGAATGATATCGTTACATGCAGGTAACGAGATACTATGCGTGTCGCGTACGATAATAATATTATGTATTATTATAACGATATCGTTTGTAGTAAAAATTATATTTTGTTAAGTATGGTCGTTTCTCGAACTCTTCAAACACATCGAACCATTCGAATAGTTCGAGAGGTTCGGGTACGACCATGAAGATTAATTTTAATTTTTTTTTTTTTTTGTTAAGTGCTCTTTTACTACTATTATTATGTTATTTTAAAAATTTGTTATGGTTAAATTTTTTTTTGAAAGTTTGACAAAGTTAGAACTGCGCTCTAGTGAAAAAATCAATTTGGAGTTCGTGAAAACAACTCAAGTCCTACCCCCATCGGTCATCCATGATATATTTTCATCGCAGCATAATAACTATTTGAAAAATATTGAACGGTGTGGATCGTAACCGGAAGATCACCTCTTCGATTCACCCATATCGACCACCCTCCACCGAGCCGATGTAATACTCGGCCTGTGCGACGATCAATTATTTATTATCCTACATTGTCGTGTTTACTTCCAAACAACACACATCGATGGGTAGGACGTCACCGAACACTAAATATTTTACTAGACACCTGTTATAAATCTTTCAATTTGTTTTTCTCTCTATCCGAACCTAACCGATTCGGTTAGGTATTATTAGAACATCTATTTTGTATAATAAATATATATAACACTATACAGGTTAATTAATTTAATATCTATACTCTTCGTTAGGTTTCAGTTGGTAAATAAAAATAAGTTTCGATTTATTTCCACTTGGTTATCGGTGCATACAAGGTTTTGTTGGACATACTAAAAATTGTTCTGAAATGTTATTTTCGGAGACACGGTTAAATAGTTTTAAAAAATATAAAAAGATGAACGAGAATTGAAAGAGCAACTAGTACACCAGAAGGCACAAATTGTACCTAGGTACCTACTTGTCGGAAAAGCTTCACGAGAATAATAATAATTAGTCGTTTTTCAAAACGTCGGAAGTACCACTGTTTTTTTCTCTGTCGTAGGAAATGCGCATAATCTACGCCCTATAATGTCAGTATCATCTACAGCAACGGCCAAGGAACCGTGAAAAATACGTCGTTATAACCAGATGATGTCTTTCTGACGGAAGTCGTTATAGATGGTACAGAGTGTAATTGTAACTCGTATACCGGATGATTCATTTAACTAGAACACTCATAATTATTCAAAATGTATTAATGTTTTTGAAAATTTTCAAAAACATTTATACTTTATAAAATAACGGGTGTTCGATGATAAAAAAACACCCGGTATACGTGCGATAAACTGCACAAAGCCCAATTTTTTTTTTCGTACCTTCAATATGAATTTGTCGTGAATCACGACAACAATACAATATAATATAATACCATCGATAGAAGCCGCTATCGTTTAGCTGATACCGAAGCCCACCCCTACTCGTAAGTGGGTAATGTGACCCCAGTATACAGGTCCCCGTACGAGCCGATTTTTGAAACCAAACAGAAAATAATTTAAATATTATTAAAAATGTAATATGTACCCGAGCCATTCTTTAATATGTGTTCGTTAAAATCACGTGGTTAAGATCGAATTGCACTTGTTTTTGATCAAATTGCAGCAACCGGGGGCAGAAAAAAGTAATTATTATTGTTCGAATGTTGCACTCGTTATGTTTGCACCTACTACCTATATAGTGATAATTATTATTTTATTAATTATTATTATAGGTCCTGTAATCATTCGATTTTATGCAATATATAATACCAATAATTTGATAACGATTATCAATGGACGAGGCTGGAGAATACTTCGCAATAAAAATAATAAACTTATATAGATATTACATTAAAAATAGCTACTCTTGATGCGTCTGTTGTCAAACGTTGTTTCAAACGCAGCACGGTAGCAAATTTCTATTCAATAGTGTGCTGTCAGTTTTTTCACGAGAGTGAATATTGAAATAATATCAAACTTTTAATCAAGAACATTGATATCTGTTCAAGCGCCTTCAATTTTTTTATTTTCAAGCAAAATAGGGGTACCTATGTGAAATATCGCAAATTAAAAATGCTCATATCTCGCATGATAATTAAAATATCGAATGAAATCGTCGTGCTCCTAACCTTATAATAACTAAATTAATTTTTTGGTTTCATTGTAATAATTACAAATACCTACAATTTAAAATGTATAAAATAGAAATCCGTTTTTTCCTAGTTAACATTTGAAAATAATAGTATAAAAATATCCATTCATTAATTCTAGATTTGTTACCTATGTCTTTGTAATACAATTGCTATTTATAAGTTATATGGAATGATATCGGATCGAGTCCGGATTTGTTAAGCCTCCGAGTGATGCAATTCGAACATTTCGGTTTAGATAACGAGTGCAGTTCAACAATCCCCATATAGTTATTGAAGCCTCCGAGCGGCATATTCATTTTATTGTAAGTCGGTTTGCTCTAGAAAATCAGGTCAATACGACAAATGTTATCGTTACAACAACTGTTTACAGTGGTTCGTCCTAACTGGTTTTCCACTAGCTTTTTCGGAAAAAAAAAACGATTTATACAGAGGTACTTGCACTAGCCATACTGTTATGACTAACAGCAAACACCGTCAAACGAAAAAAACTTCCTACTCTATTCAATTGTTTTTAAATATTATATGTCGATAAAGTAAAATAAATAATATTAGGATTTGAATACTACCTAGGTATATGGTCTTCTATAAATGTTCTATTTATTTATTTTGTTCATGTATCCACGACACCCTGCTCGCTACAGACTGTGGGTGATTCTTGTTCCGACTCTTACAGGGTTAGCTCGAGGGATATCGATCTCGTTCTCTTGACGGCATAATCACCCTGTTCGTCTATCGTCGTCCCCGAGTCGTGTCGTTCAATTCTCCCGTACTCATAATATATAGGTACTTACTATATCTTTTTTACCGAATTCTCCACCACTTCCATTCGCATGCCTTCCCCGCGGTCACCACCCGTCAAATAATCATTTTTCTCCCGTTCGACTGTATGTAATATGCAATTATAACTTTTAGATTTATTATATTGAGGTATGCTCCCCGCTGGTAAGAATCTGGTTGTCACTCGTTGTACGCACTTCGGTAATACCCGATGATATCGATGGCCTGAAACGCGCTGTGCACGTACATATTGTTGTTATACATCATGTATAATATAAAATGCTGAGTCTACTTTTTTCCAAAAAATGTACCATAATAGAGTACCGTTTAACCTAACTTATAGTATATATATATATTCAACATTGAATTCCGTTTGTTTTTGGACATTTTATGTACCCCTATGTTTCTTGTTTATAATTTATAGGTGGATATATAATCGTTGTAAATATTATAATGTACCTATATGCATTTGGTAGTAAAAAAAATCCATTAAAGTCCTACAAACGGTGAAACTCGACTGAATAATTTCGTACATTGATTGAGACTAGCGAGATAATATATTATTATAATGATATGACGCGTCCGCTTTAATGATGGCCATCGATACTACGTTTACACGAGAACTCAACGGTTTTGGGTGTAATCGCGTCAGCGGCTGGGTACGATTCAAGCGAGACAAACCCCCATCCCCCTCGCGTGACGTTTCATTTCACCCTTGAAATTTTAGTGTTTTTGTTTTAATCCTAAACATTTATTTGTCTTTTAAGCGGCGGGCGCACTATAACAATATAATAATATAATATTATTATATTGTATAGTGTTCCGAAGCTGAGCTCTGTACAGGTGAACAATACAATATATTAATACATTATTATTATTACATAAAACTATATATATGTTACGTTATTATATTATAAATTATAATATTTATTTATTATAGTACCTAATATGATTATATATGAATGTGTTAGCCTAAGATAAATATTATATTATATGTGTGTATTATTAATTATTGTGTATCTCTACGTGTGTAAGTGTTTATGTTCCAAACAAATATGATCTATATATTATATAATATTATGATGAATTACGATAAATGTATTATTGAAAACATATTATAATTATTAGACGTTTATATATACTAAATTAATTATTATAAATTGTATGATTATTATTATTATCATTATTTACCTACGTTTCGATAGATAAGTATATTTTTTTTTTTTGTTATTTTGATCGTTATATAACTATATAATATAAATTATAATAAAAATACATATTAATGTGTATCGTTTTCAAAGATTATTACGATACGATTTATAAACTTATAGACAAATGTGTACTTAGTTTTTTTTTTATTATTATTATTATCATTATTGTTTTTCTTAAAAATAACTATACAAAAAGCATTATGTAAATATTATGACGATAATAATAATATTATATACCTACCTATTATTTTAATATTTGTAATATAATAATATTATATCATATGCCATTATTGTGTAAAAATCTACCTTACTTATAAGTGTGTGAATATCAGAATATATAAAATTATAAATTAATTTTCGAAATGTGTTAATTTATTGCTATCGTTTTATCATACATAATAATATATAGGTGTGTCCGAGTTAATATTTTAAAAAATAAGCTCTCTAGTATTTGCCCGAAAATAATTAACGATTTTGGAAATTAATTTTTTTTACACAATCAAGTCATTACAAAACCAAACTAAAACAAAGAAAGTTCCTAACTTTTTTGTATGACAGCACGCATTTTTTATTTCATATTTCGAAGCGAATATTCTTTTAAAAATTTCAATATTACGCAATTCCAATTTTAAACGAGTAACTTATAGTAACTAATTGCCTTAGTAAGTCAAAAGTATTTTAAGTTTTGATTAATGTGGTGGGAGTGGTACAAGGGTATATGCCCGGAAAAATGTTGATACACTACTACTCCAATCAAAACTTTAAATAGGTGCTAATAATAAATTATAATTTAAAACTTATTAACAAATTTGATATTCTGCTTTGTAATATTTGAATTATTATTTTTCTATAAGTCAAAAAATAATGACTAGGTATTCTGATAGAAATAATAACAATTTAAATAAAACATATTTCCAAAAACGTTAATAACTAGTATTTACTTTTGATAAAATCAGTGTTAGCCTTTAAAAATAACCATCCTGTAAACAGCATATAATAGGAAGACCTGACAAATTAAATAAATTGTTTTAATCAATATTTATTATTATTTTTATATTTATAATTTATTGACACTTGCATTACATGTGTATGATAATATAACATTTTTATTTTTACTTTTTTATACTGAAAGTAAAAATCTTAAATATGATGTAATGTTTATTGAAAAAATAAAAATAGCTAATTTGTAAATCTGGTTTTTTTAGAAAAATGTTGTTGTAAAAACATTTTTTTAAGTCATGTATTCAACATTTTTTTGAAATTCATTATTTTTGTAAAATAAAGTTGATCCAGTTGTAAGTAATATTTTAAATTCAAAAACTAAAAATTTTTTAAAAATGTCTTCAAAAAACGTCGACATTTACAAAATCATAAAGATAAACTAAAACTTGACTCAAGTAAATATTTTAACAATCTAATGTTTTTTCAAATCTAGATTTACAAATTGGCTATTTTGATTTTTTCAACGATTCGACAATTTGTAAAAATATCGAACAGAACCAAAGTTATTTAATTTGTCAAGTCTTATTCTTGTTACACCTTGTGTACTATTATATTGTAAGTGTATGATCCATATAGATCAATATTATCTATTATAGTATAGTATACAGTGGCCTGGTGTGGAACGGTGGTTGGCTACATTCATAAAAACGTGTTCTGAAGTCAAGCATTAGCCAGTGCCACTAGTTAGCGGATGGGTGACCAATGAGGACAAATCCTCACCACATATAGGTACACACGTGTTCTAACCAATCGCACCCACCCCACAGTTAAAAATCTACTAAAACCACTTAATGGCATATGTTGACATGTTGACGTGAGTTAATTATGATAATAATAAATATTTATATATTTAAATTATACAAAAATTGAGAAAATATTTTTAAAAATAGCATCATGAATTGTAGAATAATATTATCATCAATACTCTGTACTAAAATTTAAAAATGTTCTCGCTTTTGTTCGTAAAAATAATCATCATCTTTATTAAATGGAAAAAAATGTATAAATGTATTATGAAAAGTACGCGTAGTTGGTAAATAGGTATGTACCTATTGTACCTACTACATGCTGTTATTCAGGTAATATTGCCTGTAATATTGTTCACATAGTGTCGTCGTTATATTGTAATATATTATTATATAGGTATACGTGTTTATGTAAAGTTTACAAAAATAAATAAAATACGTGTGTATCGAACGAAACGTGAACTTACTGCTGCAATAATAATATAATATATGGCGTCTTTCTGATGCAGACGCTCCCCACGTGATCTTTTTTCCTACCATGTTTATAGGTATAGGTACCAAGCTTATACCTAGATACTTTTTGTCGTACTAGTGGTATAAATAATATATTTAGACAATATATGGACCAATATATTATGATGTGACCTACCACCACCGGGTTAACGGTCTAATGTGCAATGTTCAGTGGCCTTTCGTACTCGGGTAGTCTATAAACATATAAATATTATATAATATTATATAGATATTAGATACTACCTGATAAAAAACGTGACTGGGAAATTTTGATTTTTTAATAAATTTAATGATTCATAACTATTTTACGGTAATAACAATAATGATAATATTATACATTGTTCGATAAAGTCGCTATCTCGTTGCTGGGGTTATGAAGATTTTGAAACGGTTTATGGTGAGGAGACAATTTTTATAAACATTTAAAAACGAGAAAAATCCTTCACCTATAGCAGAATAGAATATAAGTATAAATGAGAGTTCCCGTTTCTCTTAAATTTTGTTTACGATCAGAGAGATTTTGTCAATAATGTTTTTTTTTTTGTGGACAATACTTATAAACAGGAAATAATTGACTAATTTTTAAATTCAGTACCTTTTCTGATAGTTGATTAGACCCAGATTGAACTTTGAATGTGTCAACTTTTGGTTTTTACTTATTTACAATACCTAGTTAATAAATGCTCAAGGAAAAACTGACATAAAGTAGCTAAAAAACAGGAATCTTGTAAGAAGCCCCGATTTTTAACAAAATTGATTTGGTTTTTAGTTATAATTCAAAAAATAAAATAAATTATATTTGTTGCTATAATTTTGAACCACTATAACAATAACATCGTTTATATCACAGTTATACATTTGCACAACAGTGATTTATTTATATTATAATATTAAGTACCTTGTATACAGTATGATCATAAAGATCTCCAACTTATAAGATTTATATAGGGTGTTCGACGTTCGTGATAAAAATAGAAAAGTTGGGGTAGCGTCATTTATTGCAATATATTGAAGTAATTTATTAGTGACTGACGAAGTGATACCAAATAAGTAATAACAAATACTAAATATATTCTAGAAAATATTACTATTAAAAATAACATGCGTTTAATTTTTTTTTTATTGATCTTTTAAGCCTGACGACTGGCCATTATAGCTGTTTGTAGGGTAATTGTGGTAGTGATTTTGGTTTGGTAGGTTTTTAAAACGTTTGTGTTTTTTGCAGAATTTCGATTGAACACACGTAGTGCCAAGTCCGTTCGGTTGGATGGCGGCCTCTCTCTGCAAACAGGTGTCTGCCAGGAGAAAAGTGGGTGGAAACGAATCAAAAATATTAAAAACACATAATATTATCACCACTTTCATATATGTATTTAAAGATCAAATTTTGACAAATTAACCAAATCCCTAAAATTTGCAAATTATTTTCCTATTAGGAATTCATAAAAGTTTTTCTTTTCATAGCGAACATAAGAAATTTTAATGGAAGATTCCCCACAATGTCTCTACCTTCAACAAAAAAATAACATGACTTTTTTATGAGTATATGAATTTTAATTTTTATGATATTGGATTCTTACCAGCCTATTAACGAATTTCCATAAATCTATTTTTGATATTTTGTTTCATTCAAAAACAATAACTGTAGAAACTCGAAATGTTCACAAAAATATTTTAAAATAACAATTTTTCATACATAGTACTATTTAAAAAATATTTTGATTCTTTTTAAGCTATTTACAGCCATGAAACATTTTTAAAATGTTTTAAATTATCATTCAGTTGGAAATTCATAAAAGATTTTCTTTTCTTAGCTTACGTTAAACATTTTAATAAAAAATTCCATCACTAGTTTTTCTACCTTAAACAAACAAAAAAGTTTACCAGAAAGTAACGCTATTATTATAGCCAAGAGATATTTTCAAATTTTATTAACTTTTTTAAAATTATTAAATTTAATTATTTAACAAGCATGCAAGGGCCAAGGATCGTT